GAAGGAAGGAAGGAAGGAGAACAACACTGTTCTTCTTTGATGTCTATATTCTTGTTTGACTCAGGTCGTTGATGTCTTCGAAAAGGTGGGCTCAGCACAAGTGTGGCTCCTCAGATTTCGTGCACTTTTCTTTTCAAGCTAGCGATGGCCTCCAACCTAGTTGCGATGGTGTGATGGCCTCCAACCTACTTGCGATGGCCTCCAACCTAATAGGCATGGAGATGAAAGCTTTCGCATCGGAATCGGATTTTTGCCGAATGACACGAGGTGAGCGTCTCCGACCTGGCCAGCTGTAGCAATGGCAGCCTGGTGCAGCTGCAGGGGAGGCGACTCTGGTTCCAGCGGTCCTGAAAAATCTCTCCTGGGTTTTCTCATTGCCAACCTAAGGCACCCAAGACCCTTCAGAAAGGGTTCGGGAACAAGACTGAAGAAGACAGTTCTTTTTGGAATGGTCTATGTTGATCTATGCACATGAAAAGAGGGAGAGAGGGGTGTGCTGGATGATCGTGGAGAGGGGTCTTCATAGCGTCATACAGGCCGTTCGTCACTGAGATCATTCAGCGAGACCCGAGCGATGTGACCGTTCCGCTTTTGACATGATGGTCCGGTTTTTGCTTCATTTTCTAATAGCTTCTTGTTCCTAGTAGTACGGCTAGGAGCCCCTAGGCCCTAGTAGCGTCCTTGCTCCTAGTAGCGATGCTAGGAGCCCCTAGTAGCATCATGGTCACACTGCCACGCCTCACAGGGATGGCAACATCGTCCTGGACATGCAGGCGAAGGTCGCCCACGGACACCTCGAACTGGACGACCTGCGCCATCTGGGCATCCGGTCGAGCTGGGTCGATTCCCGGGTCGATGGCATACGACATGCGTCTTCGTTGCTAGTAGCGTCCTTGTTACTGTACTACTAGTAAGGCACTTGTTACTTGAAGCGATGCACTTGTTACTAGTAGCGGTTAGTAGGCTGCCCATGGTTTTGCGAATTCTCTTTGGAGGGCTCTTGAGCTTCAGATGGAGCAGTGCTCAAGATTTCGAGTCATGCTAAAACGAATGAGCTTCAACAATCTCTTGCTGCGAGCAAGGGTGGGTTGCGTTGCTTCGAGGCCATCGCAAGTAGGTTGGAGGCCATCGCTCTTGGGTTTCTTTTGCTAATTAGGTTGGAAAGACAAGGTGGAGAACTCAGCACCCTCACGGCCAGGTGCATTCTCACGAAATCACCAAGCCGCGGCTTTCCCGACATCAGGTGGGGAAGGTTGGTTCAACTCGTGGCGGTGTTGAGCAAGCTTCCTTGTTCTTCTTAGCGAGTTCTTTGGTTCTTGGTGTCTTTCGTCTTTTCTTTAATTCTCTAGACCTTTAGACCTTTCTTTCTTGCAGAAACGGAGAGACCAACCTCCAAGCAGAAACGCAAGCGGAGCCTGCAAACAAATTGACCTATTTTACGACCTACTTGGTCAATCTTGGTGACTTAGAAAGTCCTTTCTGAGAACTGCCGGCTTGTTGTCACCCTCCCCTTTCCTCTGGTCACATTGCATCTTGAGGCTGCCTTAGATGCCCAAGCCTACCTAGAGGCAGACGTGGACTCCAACCCGCGGGGGTGAAGAACACAAAGTGGTCTTGTTGAGCCAAGCTCGGCAGCTGGAAAGGCTGAAGAAAGCAACTTCGGTTCACGTCTTTTCCCGGTGATCCAAGGTACCCAGCCGTTAGGAAGCCAGTGAAGAGAGCGGTGGCCTCCAACTTACTTGTGATGGCCTCCAACCCACAAGCAGCTCCAAGTGATTCGAGGTTCCAAAGTTCAAAGATGTCTCCTTTGTCAACATGACCAACCAGGTTTGCCAAGGTCAAAGCATGACCAACCGCCCAAGGCGCACTCCGTGCCGCATGTCCTGTGGAGCACTCAGCACTAGTTCGTTGAGTTTGGTGATTTCTAGAGCCAACGGATAGGGGGAATAGACCCGAATAGGGCACGTAAGACGGTACGTTAAGGATGAAGAGAACCTGCAACACCCTTCTAGTCTTGGAGGAGAGAGTGCAATAACTGGAAGTTGAAGCCGGAGTGCCAAGTCCTTCTTGAGGTGATTGAAGGGCCGTTCTGCAACACCTAGACCTCGACGGGAAAGGGCGCAGCTGGCACTTTTTGCCGAGGCAAGGGATGGTGCATGAGCTCCTGTCGTCTCGACCAGCAGATCCCTACTCCTTCATGATGGGCTACATCAAGGCTGGCGATGCCGACGACGTGCAGAGCTGGAACATCAAATGAATGCTTTCGTCGCAGTAGAAGGTAGATGGTGATGTGAGTCTCAATCAATACTTGCACCTTATACTGATCTAGATGCATCTGACAGTCAGCTTGCCATCCTTTTTCCATCGAGGCTTAGCATGGTTCCTTGGTCTTGTCGCACTTGAATAGTGGCAATGCCGCAACAATAGTGCAACAGCAAAGATCATCTTCATCGTTTTGATGTTCTCATTCGTTATGGCGGCAAACTGCAGAGGCCCAAGAGGTGCCGAAGGCACCGTCACTGCACCAGGAGGAGCTGATTTGAATGATCAGACACCTCCTTGCTGGCAATAAAGTGTGGCCATTTTCTATTTTTAATTTCCAAATGCGTCAAACCTCAAACAAAGTCCTTAAAAAAGGAGCAGCAACATTGCAAAACTAACATAGCAGCCCTTTAAGAAGCGATTGCTTATGTGGTGTCCACCGAAGTGTTGGGTCGTCCAAGAGTGGCTTCCTTCAGGAGCCCCAGGAGGAGGATGACTTCGCTGGGCGCTCAAAGATGTGTACCCCGGAACAGGTCGTGACCTGCATCGCTGGGAGCAAGGAAGCTACTAGGGGCTCCTGGCATCGCTACTAGGAGCAAGAAGCTATTATAGTAACAAAGGGCATGGTCGAGTCCGGCTGATTCTGAGCTTGTTATTGGACTATGTGATTCTGTGACGACGCCGTCGTCTTCTTTTAGTGCCCGGTTTAGTGTCCTGCGGCCCAACTGCCAGCGTTGGAAGTCGCGAAAGACTGCTTGGCCGAGGATGTTTTGCCAGACTGGTCGGCCATGCCGGGCAGAGGAGAAGAGGAGGACAGTTGGAATGGGTGTCGTGTAGACCACGTGGAATATCCACAAAGAAGCAGCTGACTGTTATCACGCAAGGAGAGGTGCCCTTGTTACCACGAAGCAGAAGATCATGTTTCTTTTCAATTATAAGAACGCTAGTAGGGTGGAGGCCGTCGCTAGTAGGGTGGAGGCCATCGTTGGTACGAACACTTGCTTGCGTTTTTTTCCCAACTATCTCTCCACACCCAGATTCGCCGCGGCGCGAATTCCAGTACCCGGGCTTTCCCTCGGATGGCTCGCAGCCTCTCCCTGACCTGCCTGGCACTTGGTCTCATTGTGAAGGCTTTAAGGTTTGAAACATTTTGAAAAGCATGGACTGCAAGGAAGTACAATAGTTGATTCTGTTGCTTTATTGTTGTCAGTTATTGTCAAACCGTCAAGCCTTCAAAAAACAGTTTTAGAACTTCCAGATTATTAGCAGCAGCATCAACTTGGACGTGCCTCTCCCTCTTCTCGAGTCAACTTTTCCTTCGAAATGCTTTTGCTTCAGCGACTTGTCTAGGGTGTAGGGTTTTCAAGTGATATGTTTGTCAAGTGTCTTGAAGACAACAAGTTTTATCGTTGGAAGTGATGCCACTGGTGTGTTGTGGCCCAGGTCGCAACACCACAACGTCTTAGCTTCCGTGCTGCTTGCCCGGCCCGAGCTCTATGAAGACTTAAAGGCGCCGGCTTGTAGGCGCAGAGCACCTTCTTGTCAAAAAGACATTCGGGTGTAGCTTGGTAGCGGATCCAGTAGGTGAGTGGTACGGTTTGAAAGCAATCTGGGCAAGAAAGAAAGGTATAGATGACGCAGTGACGCAGTGTCTTGAAGGTCCAGGAGAAAAACATGTAGCATTTGTGTGGCTTCCTGTCCTTGGTTGCTTCAGGATGTGCGCACTGCCAGTGGGAGCTCACTGGCTCAGTGTATCAAGCCGGGAATTGACAACCGAGGAGCCGAGTGGTCACAGGTGAGTTACTAACTGGTGGGACATCGTGGCGGTTGCACTGTAGCGGTGGAGGGGTAGGAAAGGCCGCGTTCAGTGGCTCTCACGTGATTGTGTGAGAACTTGGACAGCTTGGCATTCTTCGAGTTCTGCTGCGATAGACTCAATAGACTCTTGGTGGAGGAGGAACAGCACAGTGTCACCACATGTTCAGTTCCTTCAATTCCTCCTGACTTGTCCCATTTGCCGTAGCCAACACAGATCGCCTGAGCTCCGCACGCAGGATGCAATGCCGTTCGCACTTTAGGCCTGATGACAGCGGCCCCTCGCCTCGGATGAGCAAGTGGGACCACTTCTGGATACCCCAAAATGTTAGCGTCCTTGCTCCTAGTAGCGAGGCCAGGAGCCCCTAGTAGCGTTCTTGCTCCTAGTAGCGATGCCCTTTGCTCCTAGTAGCGTCCTTTCATTACACCAAAACCTTAGAAGTTGTTCTAAGAACAAGAGGAAAAGAACGCTACATTTTGTGAGTTGTTTTGCTTTCGGCACGAGCTTTCCGTTGTTTGAAGCGTCAACAAGACACTCCATTTTGGTAGCCGGGCCGAACTCAGGATGAGTCCTGCTACGAAACCTTTGCCCCGCTGTTCCGCGCGGTGCGGGCGCCCAGTGGGCACTGATATCAGCCTGAAAAGTCCAGATTCAGACGGGTGAGGTTCATCTCGTCATCCAGCAGCTCCTGTTGTCGTTGTAAGATCAAGACATTCCCAAATCGATTCTGATGCATTTCCTGCACCACTTAGAAGCCATGCCATATCATGCCATGCTATGCGCCACGACAAAGCAAGGTGATGAGCCGATGGCAGGAGATCGTTTCGGAGGATGTGGAGCTCTCCAGACCAGCGGAGGAGGAGGTCTGGGTGTCAGTTGGTGCTAACATTTCCTTTTAGATATGTTTTTTTTCTTACTTTCTTTTAACACTTCATCTTCTCTTATGGATCTATTGTTCTTTTCCTTTCTCTTCGGACCTTTCCTTCTTCCTTTCCTTTGTCCTGAAGTCTCTCAAACTCAGTGGCCATGCCGCCATGCCATGCAACTTGAGCGGGGTCAACCGGTGGCAACGGCTGAGGCGAAGATGCACCCTGATCCACAAGGACAGGTGATCCTCTCCGTACAGGCAACGGACGTCATTGTGTTCAGATTGATGGCATCAAAGCAATAGTTTTTAGTAGTCTTCCTGTTTTCATTGCTTTCAATCTGTCTTCCCTTGTTTTCTTCCTTCTCAGTTCTTCCTTTTCTTTTTCTAGGTCCTTTGCAGCCGAAACCTCCGCGGCGTGCGCATGGTGCCTTCTGCGGGGCGCGAGGAGACTAGGGGATTTTGGGATGCCAAACCCACGGTTCCTGCTTTTGAACTCCACGTTTCCAGTTTCTGAACCCAACGTTTTAGTTTCCGAACTTAACGCCAACCCATGTTCTGCCAGGGTTTAGATCTTGAATTCGGGA